TTTTTAACAAAATAATGATATTGAAATAAAATGTTACATTATGTTTCTTTCTCGAAGTAAAGATTAAGTGTAACGTACAACGGATATAAATAAGTATAAAATATAGTTATGTGTATAGTAGTTAAAAGTATAAGATATAGTTTAAGTTTAATCTTTATTCCGAATGTCTTACGAGAAACGCCGAAATAGAGTCAAACGCTTTTAGACTTTTCTTTAGCAATACCAAAAATGTCGATCGGTCAGAAATATATTTTTGTGATCGATATCAAGTCGAATCAAGTCAAATCATCTGCACACTTTTGACCTTTCTTTTTCTTTATGAATTTATGAATTTTTAATTTTTTAAATTCTCTATGACATTTTATATTATATGATACACATAAAATATTTCATAAAATAACATAAACTATTTTTTGATAACTGTAACTTAATACTCTTTTATCCAGAACAACTAGAGGTATCATATTACGTAATAAATATATAATTTCATTAAAAAAAAGTAGCGACCATAAGACAAATCTCGACAGTGACACTATCTGCAGATAAATCAATACAATATATATGATCATATGATCCCTTCGAAATCCTATAACTCTTATCAACAGACTCTAATCAACATTGCATATAAAAACTTCTAATTTTACATAAAAAATGTCACACAAGTCAAAAAGGTGTGTGTTTATAAAAGCTTATTTTTATAATGGATATTCAATATAAATGAAGAGCTAATAATACTTTTACTCTACTTCTCCACAATTAGTTATTAAAAAATTGCATTTAAATATAATATTGCAAAATCTTAATAATTCGAAACATTCGAACTTATTTTCTGAAAAATTTTGTTTTTTGAAATCTGTTGTTGAAAAATATTTTTTTTTTTAATTCAAAATATTAAAATGATGTAAAAGTATTAAAATGATGATATTAAATTAAAAAAGATATTAAAATCAAAAGATATTAATATGTTGTTAGATGATTTAAAATTCGGGATATTCTGTATATAATATCGCATAATCGTGTTTTACAAGTACGCGTTACTTCATGGACATAGCACGGAATAGAACCAAATATCATCGGCACAGCATGGAACAGAACCAAAAGTCACGCTCATTATCTGTCAGGCGCGTTATCTGTCGAAAGTACATGGAGACGATTACGTAGTTCAAGGTGCACACTTTTGCACGTCGAGGCGCCAATGAGCGGCGGTACCAGCTCAAAATGCAGGCATGGTCGCTGTCAAGTTTCTCTGCGCTGTGACCGAAACGACTCTTGGTTTCTTACGTTACTCCGCGGCTGCGGACGGTGGCAAGTCCTGGTGAGATTCGTGAAAGTTGCACAGTTCGTTAATGGACTCGCGCGTGATAGTTTGAGTGAGTTCGAGAGCGGCGAAAGAGGAAAAAGAGCGGTGAGAAGTGAGCACGAGAGTTCGTCATCGTCGCTCGACCTGGTTCGGTTGGTGGTCATCGTGCGACGTGACATAACCTTTGGAAAAGGTGAGTGACTTCTCGAAAGTGCAGATATACATGTCGAAAAAGCTTCTATAAGTTGAAAA